CTTTATCTCTATTATATATTATCCTTAAATATAAATAACCTATGTACACCACCACAAATTCCCCAATAAACTACCCAGGGGGCGCAGCCCCCTAAAAATTTTGATTTCTAGTTGTCTATGTGCATTGTATCTTAATACAACAACATGTATACACATTAGAAAATAAAATTATTAATAATCGTCTTTCGTAATTTCTTTGTTGAAGACTTCAGCGTAAGGAGTCTTGTGCAATCTTTGTGATATTTTTAACCTGCGTGTTGATAATAGATTTACAAGGTAGTATTGGCGAAACCCCGTAAATTTACAAGTAAATTCGGTTTAGTATCTTCACTCCACGATACATTATACCATGACAAATGCAAGCTAGTATGCTATTGAGGTTATTTCAAAGAGAACAATTTTCAGAGTAAAGATGTAACGTAAGAAATTGATCCAATTCCCACGCGGTGTATCATACGATAGGAACTGCCGATTGTTTATTTGCAACAGTTAGTATATGTGGTATACCGGAAAACCACTAAAAATCTTAGAAAAATTATTGAATATATTTACGTATTGTTAAAAACGTCGCAAAATTAAACACTAAAACCCGAGGTACATTTGACAATATCCATGCAATGTATTATTATAGTTATGGTTGTCAAATGGTATTATAAGACTCCAAACGAATAAGCGAGAAAATGTGAGCATGTATCCTTACGCAAAATAATGGACGTGTCATTCCAACAGTTTATTGTCATGCAGTTAGCTGCGTATTATGAGACTACTCGCGCCAGCAACGATTTTATATGTCCTAATAGGAAGCGGGAAAATGTTCGAACTCAACTTATTATCTAGTTAATAAATAATAAACTATAACAAATAATCAATAATTAATACAATCATTGTTTGCATAAATATCGGCACTCTTTGTCTATGTTTTGTCTCCTATTAGCAATGTTAACGAGATAGTTGTTTCTGGGATGCCATCCAGTCCACCATACGCCCAGACTACAGCCCAGCCTATACCATCCACTATCTAAAACTCCATCATCTTGCACAGTAGTAATCTTCTCTGCCCGTCAGGCTGGTCGTAGACGGTAGAATAGTATAAATTTAGTTTTATTAATGTATTTATGACACTATATACTAAATGACGACTCTATACAGACCGTATGGATGATAACGATAACGAAAACGAATCAGCGACCACTGATATACATGACGCAATCCGCAACAAAATATCGATCGCAATGTAGAATGCATTAGACAAAAAATGCTAAGAAGAGGTGGAAGAGTAGTTCTTGTCGTTTATTGTTGGTGATGTAGTTAGACTACGCA